GAGACAGCCAATGGCCGCCCAGTGGTCCCGTGGTCCATGTGCTCCGGACATACGGGTGTGGCTTTGGATGATTGCGTCTGTTGCTCCAAGGGCGCGAAGAGCACACATGAGGTCTCCGGGGGTGGTTTTGGATGGGTTGGGGTATTCGAGGTGGTGAAAGGAGAGGCCGTTGTCGAGCACACCAGCGTATTGGTATACCATGACCACGGAGATGTCACGAAGGAAGAGGTATCCACGACGTGGAGCTGCCCATGCCTGGACGGTACGTTGGAGGGGATCGCCGAGGAGCTGCTGGCCATGTTCCATGAGGCCGCCACGGAAGGTGAGGCCGTAGCGTTCCTGACAGATGTCCTCGATCTCGCGCCGGTAGTTGAGTGTGCTAAGTGTTTCCTCCTGGGGCTGTAATGATGGGTTGATTGAGAATTGGATGCGTACTTTGGCGTCAGCAAAGTGTCGCTCGATATCGACAATATCGTCGGCATTGAATCCTTGGAAAAGGTGTGCCTCATGATCCCAGTATCGTTGCATGGTGCGGTACATGATCGGCTGGCCTTCGTCGTGTAGGGTTCGGATACCCGGAAATTGAAGGGCTGTGTTGGTGTCATACTCCTCCTGGTCGTCGTCTTCAATGGATTGGCCAGCTGCCCCCTGCTCGGTCGGTGCTGGTTCGTAGGTATTCGGTTGGTATTGTGGGGGGCGGGTAGCGCATGTCGTGGTGCCGCTTGATCGGTGGAAAGTTGAACGAGGGGTGGGGAAAATCGAGGTCTGGTTCAATATCGGAGTAGTGGCGTTTGGCTGGCTGTGGACGATGTGGGTGTTCAGTGGAGCCAGTAGGAGGGGTGAGATGGCTGTGGGGCTGTCCCGTTGGCTGTACGGCTAGTGGGCTTGGCGGCTCGGTGCTGTCATTGTTTGTATGTTGGATGGTTGTCTCAGTGGGGTTGTTTGTGGTATGCTGCATATTGGAGGATGCTGGGTGTGAACGATCTGTGCCCAGTGGGCATGTAGCCGTTGGGGTGGTTTGCGTGCGCTGCCCAACGGAGGTTTGGAGTGTTCGTGAGGGGTAGGTGGTGTGGAGTGGGACATCACATGAGGTCAATGTGATGGGGTTGTGTGATGTTTCCTGACTGGGATGGAGATAGGCGGTATGGGGAGGGTACGTGGTGGACCAGAGCGTGGTGCGGGGGGGATCTGGGGTTAGAAGCAGGTTCGTAGTAGTGCGAGATACGTCCCCGGATTCGGTGGTGTGGGCTGGCTTGGGCTGGAGGGGAGAGAGGGCAGGGCGTGTGGAAGAAGGGGCTGGACGCGAGTGCGGATGGTTCGTGGTCGGGAGAGGTGTTGCGCGTGCTGAGGGAGGACCGGCTCGCGTGGGTGACGGGGCAGTGTCGGCGTGCTGGGGTGCCTGTGAGTGATGTGGCCCATGGGATGGGATGGGAGGGGTGGGTGCAGCGGAATGCCCATGGAGGGCAGTAATGGGTGGATTGATGGGTGCGGTGTCGCTTGGAAGAGTGTTAGGATGGGGTGCCAGAGTGTTGCGAGTTGTGGCTGCATAGGTAGAAGCGGTTTGCCGCCAGATGTCTGGAAGGGAGCTTTGTGTAGAGGGACCATTGGCCAGCTTGGAAGGGTGGAGGGCTACAGGAGCCGGAGAGCGTGGCGTATGCGGACTATCCAGAGTTGGCGGAGTCGTACCCATGCGATGGGAAGGGTATGAGACATGGGGCAGCCTGGGGCGGATGGGCTGGACGTCGTCTGAGAGAGGGTTGGCCTGGTGGGTGCGTAGTGTGACATCTGGGATGGGACTAGTTGTGCCTGGCCGGGCGGAACGTGGATGTGCATGCCGCTTTCGAGGTGCAGCCCGTTTGGTGTTGCAGCGGTCGTGGCGAGCCAGGAACTTGTCCGCTGCACGTTTTGACCGTGGTTGGCGGGCGGCGAGCGGTGTGTCGACCGGGCATTCTGTAGTATCGGAGGCAGAGTCGTTGTCGGATGAGTGTGGTGGAGGTTGGCGGATGATGCCCGTAGCCGGCACAAGGATGGCTGTGGGAACGCCGTTGCGTTGCACGTAAACGGTGGCCATGGGGGTTGGCATGGGCGCGGTGACTGACAGTGTCGGGTTGTTTGCCTGCAGCTTACCGGGGTCCGTCGGTAGCGTGGGCATGTTCGTTGATGTATCCTTTGGTGTGCTCGGGGCGCAGCCACCCACTTGTGGGTTACCAGGTATATTTGGGAATGACTTCGAGGTACCGAAATCCGTGCATTTCAATTAACGAGAATCGATTACCTAGAAACAAGCCGAAGATGTCAGTAGAAACAAGCCGAAGATGTCAGTAAATTGCTACGCATATTGCTGCCCAATAACCCCCCCCGAACTACACACTTACGTTGGCATACGCCAAGATTAGTAGGGGAAGTGGCGAAAAACACTCGCAACGTATGCGTATCAAAACTTATCTGGTAACGTTAACGGCTTATCATTCTACCGGCAATATTCTTTTTGTCATACCTGCGTCATTTATCGAGTACAACAGCGGAACCACTCGAGTCAAACCACTCGTACAACATCGTACGAGTAGTTTGACTCGAGTGCTTCTGGAATAACATTGTAGCTAACACTTAGGTATCAACTTGGTAGTGTCGGGTTTGATATTCCTCATCAATCCTCTTGATGAACCAAGAACCACCAAGAAAAATGCTATATAGTACAATTGTTGTCGTATTCCACCCACCTTTTCACATTCACGCTTCACATCTCACAAACCTTTACCACGTTGTTGATATCTGTTCTGCCGCGTCCGCAGAAGTGCGTCGTGTGCCCTTGGGAATGACCGAGGGCAAACTGCACCTACATGGGATATCGAGAACCTTCTGGTTTCGACGCGTGGCCGATATCGACGACTGGTTAGTATAAAAGGTTAATACCAGTCAGTTTGCATCGAGAGTCTAACCACCGTTGTGGTTGCTGTGCCGGTCGACGGAGCGTCGAGAGTACGGGGTGAGGAACATAGAATTCTTTAGAGCACGTATCGATCTGAAGCAATTCGTGATACGGAAGTGGAGCCGTCAAGCCGCAAGTTTCGGTCGCCGGAGCGCGACGACGACACAGTGCGTATGGCGCCACGGGGGCGCGAAGGTCGCGGACGTTTCCGTGGGCCTTTCGGCTCTCCTCGAAGAAACCAACCCCAACCCGTTGATCGGATGGGGTTTGGTGTCCAAGGTGGAGTGGGAATGACGTCAAGTTGGGCGCCATCGGCTGTGCCAACGCGAGCTGCGGCGGAAGTGCCGCTGCCTGGCGCATCATCTGCTGGTGCGAGTGCACCTGGTGATGTGGACATGGGCGAAGACGAGCCCGTGAAAGTGCTGAATGCACCGGCTTTACCGCTGCCGCCCTCGTTCAAGGGATCGACGAAGGCGGAGCGTCGTGCGTTTATGCGAGAATATCAGCGATACACGTCGCAGATTATGGCATTGCAATCAACGGGTCAACGTCCGTTTTTGATGCCAGTCGGCGCGTGTATGGACCTGTTTTCAAAGCGACGCATCGCTATGTTTGACTTTGGAAAGTCACATGGCGATGTGACAGAAGACGAGTGGGTGGCCTGGTTTATGGAGGCCCACGATGAAGAACCCGTTGAGTTGGACGCGCTGAAGAAGCGCCTTCAGGTGTCCGTACAGTTCGACACCAAGATCCTCGACGCCGATAGTCGAGTGAGTCGAATGCTCGACAATTTGATGAAAACCCTGGAGGCGGACGGCCAAGAGTGGGTGCTTCATCAGGAAGGGAAGTTGGTGGTGGGAATCATCACCAAAGCGATCAAGCCAGCAACGCTCCAGCTGATCGTGACGAAGCAGCTGCAACTGCAGCGGAACAAAGTGCTCAAGTCAGACGTGTTTCGCTACGTCAAGTGGCTGCGGCAATTCGCCATTGGGTACCAGCTGTATGGCGGCATGGACGAAGAAAAACCTTCGAAGCCGCCGGCAGAGGAGCCGCGGAAGGAAAACTCGCGGTCTCGTCCACGTTTCACTCCGGTCTGCGAAGAAAAGCGGCCCAGCGGCGCGTCTGTCGCACCTCCTACTTGGCGTGCCGAAAAAAGAGACCAGCCGCCAGAGCGGCCGAAGCCCACGAGCCTGAAATGTCAGTCGACGGCACACCGAGTGCGGGAACACCCTGGCATTACAGATGCCGAGGTAAAGAAGTTGATAGACGACTTCCTTCAGGCGCGCCGTCGGTCGGTGAACTTCGTGTCGAGCACGAAGCCGGCGAACAGCATGGAGTGCCAAGCGTCGATCGAGGACGTTCTCACGCTTCCTAAAGTGTTGCTGGACTCTGGGTCCGACGAGACGTTGGTGTCGGAATGCCTCCTCGTGGCGCTGGAGCGCCTTGGAGCAAGTCTCAACGTCGAGACAAAGCCAAGGCTCATGTTGAAGCCGTATGGAGAGACAACCAAGCC